AAAAAAAAAAAAAAAAAAAGATTTATGATCTAAAATACAATTTAAACTTATTAGCAGGAAGTCTAATCTAGTGGCGCTTTTTGTCTTACTATTTTCTTCATTCAGACCCGACTTCTGTTAGCACATTGTGGAGTAAAGTATTACAGAGAATCCCCTATAAACTTTGGTGACTCCTGTAGATTCTGTGACTTCTGTTTCTCTACCTTCAAATATAATTGATACCAGTTTCTTTAATAAGCCTGTTCCAGCCCTGATAGTGCTGTTGCATTTTTCAGAAATTAATGCTTCAGATGAACTCCAGGAACAAAACAGAGGAAGTTGAAGGTGAAACAGTGGAGCTCGATGTATCAGATGAAGAAATGGCTAGAAGGTAACGGTCACCTTGGAACCACATTATAATCTGGGTCCGGCATTCTTTGGCTCTCACGTGGGTTCTCTTCTTCCCCACCATCTTCCTTGGAGTGCCCCAGCAGGAAGATGACTTTCTCCTTTCTCTAAATTGGGCTCAGGCAGGTTCATGCCTGTCACACACTGGCAGTTGAGGGCTCATGACGGGTACTGCTTCTAATACATACTTTAATTTTTTTTTTTCAACGTTTATTTATTTTTGGGACAGAGAGAGACAGAGCATGAACGGGGGAGGGGCAGAGAGAGAGGGAGACACAGAATCGGAAACAGGCTCCAGGCTCTGAGCCATCAGCCCAGAGCCCGACGCGGGGCTCGAACTCACGGACCGCGAGATCGTGACCTGGCTGAAGTCGGACGCTTAACCGACTGCGCCACCCAGGCGCCCCATACATATTTTAAAATATACATCTCAGTTTATTCAGGATAGTGCAAAAACAAAACACAGTGAAGAATTTAATCATCCATAGAAAAGTTTATAAATTTTAAATCCGTTTATTTTGATCACAGCTTTGATTTTTTTTATAATCATTGAATATTTGTTATAATTCACTGAATATTTAGTTTGATATTCTTGACAAGACTTGATTCCTATCTTATTTGTTTGTGGATTTAATTAAACTTGTGCTGCATACCGTCTTAACAGATATGAAACCTTGGTGGGGACAATTGGAAAAAAGTTTGCCAAAAAAAGAGACCGGGTCAACTATGAAGAAGATGAAAATGGACATGTAAAACCAACAGTTAAAGTAAAGAAGATGTTCTTAAAGCCCCAGGATTGAAGTGGATGCTTTAAGACAGAGCTCAGGGGTGCCTCATGAGGGTTAGTATATTGTGGAACTCATTCTGATGGCTTCTCTGTAGTTATTCAAACTGTGATGTTTGAATGTAAAGAGGTGGATAATTTTGGAAACATGCCATTTTTGAAACAGATATGTGGTGGATGTTATACATCCTTTGCTTCATGGTGTTCATCAAGAATGGATTTTTAGCCTTCGAGTTTCAAATGTACATAGGGATGTGGCTGCTTCCTAAAGACTTTGTGACTTCAGATTTTTTTTTAATGGAGCTCTCTTGTCACTGACCTTGAATTGGCACGTATAAATTAAACCAGTGTTTAAGTTGCCCTTATGTTTCTATTTTACTTTAAATTATGAATCATGCCAAGCCAATGTATACATACATTCTGGAATCAAACATAATGAGGGTTTATTATATATATAGATTCATCAAGAGCAAACATGCCTCTCCAGCCTACAGTACTTGCATGCTACCGAGTCATTGTTGGTTTGTGGAATTACTGGTTTTTGTTTAAAGCTTTTACTTAATAAAAAAAAATTATTCTCTAATAAATTAAGTTTTCATATACTTTTTCTTGTCTCTTATGCTTTCAATTAATTATTTTAGTCTAATTCAGTATTGGAACTTTAATCCAAATACAAACTTGAAAAAAACAGCCATTAACTTAGAATATGGTAATGTGTTAGGTTGAACTGTAAGAAATTGGCTTGTATGGGTCAAAAGCAATCATCAGCTTTTTATTTTAATTATTATGAAAATCATTAACCCGTAAATATACCCTGGTAAGCTCTGTTTGGACAAAGAAGTCATTGGCAATGAGAGGACACCACTTTCCAAACCAACAGCTGGCTTGTGTATCCTAGAGGTTTTTTTCCAACATATTGACATATTTTGCTTCTTTTCCATGGGGCCTTGAGTTTTCACTGGCCCCAAGAAAGAAAATACACAGGGTTTTAGGATGTTAATTGTAAAATTAGGAGAATCTAGGGAGATTCTCTTGTACAAAGTCACAGTGTTTTCCTTAAGGCGTATTAATCTGAATGGTATCTCGAGCTGGTATCTCTGGTGTCTATTCCATCAGCATTGTATGGATGGGAGAAAACTCTGCCTGCCCATGAGTGGCAGGGGTAACCCTGTGCTGTTGCAAAACTGTAACAGGATCAAACAAGACCATTCAGGTAATAAAATAGGATTATCTGACAAATATTGGCAGACTATGACCTCCAGTGGCTTCTCTCCCACTCATAGCAGGCTCTCACACCCACATCCCCCCTCTGACCTCTGCCCTGATCATTATACCAGATGGTCACTTCATCACATGTAACATCCATGTCAAATGAATTCTGTCCTCAAACCTGACACCTCTCTGCTCCTACCTCAGAGTCTTCATTTAAACCTCATGGGGATGGCCACAAGTCAGAAATGAAGAATAACATAGGAACAAGTCTGCAGTTCAGCCCACAGACCTGTAATTCATGGCATCCAGATTCTGAATGCAATGATAACAGAAAACCTGAACTACAGCAAGAGTGTGAAGCACAAATGCGTGCTTGAGCATTGGAGATCCCATCAGGTATTTCGTCTAGAAGAGAGCTGATAATGGTTGGACTAACATGTTACCTGGAGGAAAATAAAGTAACGTAGAAGCAGTTCTGGTGAATGTTCTCCAAATGAATAACCAGTATGACAGCACTGCCAAGGGGCTGGCTGTCCTTAGATGCCAGCCACGTGCCCAGAAAACTGCAGTTGGGTCTGATGTGCCGTTGAACAAATAGTGAGTTCTTACACTTGGCTGGGCACTGAATTATGGGCTAGGATTGTAAAGAATCATCTCTTCTTTACCCATGAAGAAACAGATAGGAGACATTACAGTAGCCCATTCAGTGCCACACTGCTTTTAAGTGCTAGATCTGGGATTTGAATGCAGATCTGTTGACCCCAAAGCCCGTGCTCTTTGTCTGATGTCACTCTGCGGGGGAAAGCAAAAGAACGGAATTGGGAAACAGGCAGAGAATAGCCTGACCCCAGAATAAGTCCATACTTTTTTCCAAACAGTGTCTTTCAGAATCATACTGTACTACCCATACATAGTACCTGTATCATTGTACTACAACATTTTAAGTTACTTCCTTTTTTATAAATTTCCTTTTTACAGATGATAGTTAAATTCACATTAACCATCAGTTTCCAACAAGAATGATTTATTTTGTAAATAGGATATTCTGGGTATTAGTGATTCTGTATTAAGGAAGAATGGATCTATGGTAACAAGAAAAAGTTGAAAAAGCATTTTTTTTTAAAAATGCTTCTTTTTGAGATCAAGCAAGAGGGGGAGGGACGGAGAGAAAGGGAGACACAGGATCCAAAGCAGGCTCTGTGCTGACAGCAGAAAGCCCAATGCAGGGCTCAAACTCATAAACTGAGATCATGACCTGAGCTGAAGTCAGACGTTTAACCAACTGAGACACCCAGGCGCCCTGAAAAAGCAATTATTTAATGAGTGCTTACTTGGGATATAGCCATATGTGATCACATACTCCTTTAAATCATATCCTATAAAATCTTACCCACTTCGAAAGCAGGGACTATGCCTCACTCTTTGTCTGGTTCCAACCCCATGTTCTTCATGTGGGGATTTATAAAAAAATAGGTGCTTAATAGATAATAGTTAATTGAATGAAAATATTCTCCTGCTTCCCAACCTCACATAAACATTTTTAGTGACTCTCCAGAGAGTCCACCTGACAAATATTGGACACCTCAAAGATTTTGCTTACGACATTGTTTTTTGCAAGATAATTCTATCTGCAAGCATATGTTTGCAAGCTCACAATCTTCAAGCCTCAAGAGTAATGAAATAGAATTCACTATTTTCCCCAGCAGGTCCTAAATCTAAAACAGTTTCTGATGTACCTCTTGCTCCCTTATTTAATCCAGGTACCACATTCTACTCACTTCTGGCAAATGTAAGATACAAGGCATCTGAGGCTGGTTCTTCCCAGAAATGAACTCCAAGACCCACCACATCTAGGAAGATCTGGCCAGGAAAGTTCCAGGCAGAATGTTAAAAGGGACAGATGGCTGCTTCTGGCTGCCTCTGTTGAATTACAAGATCAAGATAAATGACAGAAGGAACTGATTAGTTCTACAGCACAGTTTAAAGAAATGTTGACAGCCAGGCTGGTCTTTCTAGCAAGCAGAAGGTTCTCCAAGTAAGAAGTTGCAAAGATCAAATCTGCAGTGTTGTCAGTAAAATTTGGTCTCAGGATAAATTTTGAGGGAATCCCTCAAGGGTATAGCTGTGAGACCATTTTCTGATTTTGAGATGTCATAAGAGGTCAGGAGGGTGTCTCCTAGACCCGCTTTGTTATAAGAGGGATTCCCAGAATCTTAAGGGCACCGTCACTAAGTTTGGGGGTAGTTCGTTATGTAGCAATATATAACAAATACCAGCTGTAAAACGTTTGCCAATCTTCATGTGCACCTGTGTGGCATCTCTGTCTTATATGCATTTCTCTGGCTGCTAGTGTGGCTGAGAAGCTTTTCTTGAATACCCATGATTCCGTCCTGCCCACCCCACCCTTGTGAATTGGATGACAAGGTTTGGGGTGGGGGTGGGGGGCAACGTTTCTCTGACCTAGCCAGGAGAAATCTGATAAATGGGATAAATTTCAATGTAGATATTTCTGGAGAGGAATTTCCTAGGAAGAAAATAATCCCAGAATGTTGGGCTGCTGGCTGGCCCATCCTCACACGGAGACTGTGGTAACGCTGCAGCCTCTTTCAGAAAAATTTCTCCACCGATTATGGCCTGGATCCCTTGATCCACAGTTCTGTGGTTGCTAATGTTGTCTCTACCAAAAGTGGCAGAAGTACCCCGGGACCTCCAGGAAGAATGGGGCAGGAGACCACTAGGTCAGCAGCCTCAATGGGGAAAAAAAGGCTGGAGCCTAAGAGTTGGATGACAGCAGAGGGCTTCAAAACAACCTCCAGCACTTATGAATTGACAGCAATTTGCAAATCACAATTTCAGTGTTGCCCAAGTTTATACCTGAGAACAGAAGAGCAAAACTAAGCAATGCCTGAAGTCTCCCTGGGCTTGCTTCTCATAGATGAAGTGATTCCAACATACAAAGTCACTAAAATAAATAACCAATAATTTCAAAGGTGGAATGACTAATAATTAGGAAGCTAAGAAAAGCTCTCTCGTGAATATGAATTATGCACACCAAAAGTTTATTGGCTTTAATACTTAAAAGTATTAAAATTAGTACTGTCTTGGGACACCCGACTGGGTCAGTTGGTGGAACGTGTGACTCTTGATCTTGAGGTTGTGAATTCGAGCCTTGCGTTGGGCTTGAAGATAAAATAAAAAGTTAAAAAAAAAAAAAAAGAATTGTCTTATTCTCAAAACTCCATATTAAATCCACTCTGAGTATAAAAATTCCAATATAAACTCACTCTTCATTTCCTTGATGAAGAGTAAATACTTTCACAAGAAAGAGAGGGAGGAGGGAAAATGGAAAGCTCTTTCTTGACTGAACTTCCTGAGAAGGGGCCCAGGAAGAGATTAGTTTCAAGTTGAAGATTCTAAAAATAGCTCCCTTAAACGTTTGGGACCAATTCTTCACCATATAGGTTTTTGTTTGACACTCTGTCGACGGGTAAAACAGATCATTGTAGTCTACACGGAGGTCCAGTGGTGCCCCCTCTCTGTTACCTGTTGTCGTCAGCAGTCTGGAAGCAGATGATCCTTCTGACGTGTAGTCAGAAGGTCGGTAGGAACCTAATACTAAACCACAATGCCTCTCCTCACTCCAACTCATTGCGTAGGCGTGTCATCTCACACCATCATGAGAAGAGTGAGGTACAGCATAATGCAAGCGGGCTAAGGAAAGAGTCACTCTACCAGCAGGAGTAATTCATACGGACTATCCCACGAGATCCTTCTAAGGTTGCTGCTGCAGAATGGGGATAGGCAGTATGTACGGTACCCCAGGAATTCACTGGGGGCTCTTCATGGTACCTCCATGTCCCTGGAAAACCATAAATGGGAACTGCATGCACTGTTACCCAACAAGGGCACGATAAGCAAAGGTTTGCAATTTTCAGAGGTGAAGGTCTCTGTTAACCTCGCTAGAAAAGCGACCTAGATCACCAGAAGCACTGCCAAGTGAGAGGGGAATCTAGAACGGTTGGTGGAGGAGGGAAATAATGAATGTTTATTAGAACATCAGACCCAACTACAGCAGCAAGGACTATAATTAGTTTCACTAACCTCCGACTGAAAGTTTTCATTCTGTACGCTGTGACTGGCCACCACCGTGAAGAAGCATTGACGTGATGGAGGGAATTAATGCAGAGCACAAGCAGGTCTGAGTGGTATAAGGAGCAAACTGGGCCCTGCCCCTTTCCCTCAAGTCCTCGTGTCATGGTGCCCCAGCCAGCTTCCAACTGCACG